CCATCGCTCCGCGTCCCCCCCCAACCCCCCGCGCCCGAGCCCCTCGCCACGGCCGACACCTCACCTAGCCCCCGCCGCCATCTCCCTCCGCCCTCGGCGGCCCCGCCCCCGCTAGTACATGGACAGTCCTGATTGGCTGCCGGGCCGCTCTGACGCGACCGGGGCGTCGAGGCTGGGGCCGCGGCCGCCGCCGCCGCCAAGCGACGAAGGAGGGCGTGCGGCTAAGGGAGAATGAGGCGGGCTCCCCGCCGCTGGCGCCCCCTGGGGGTGTGGAGGGCGACGCGCCAACGCCTCTGGGCTTTTCTCCGGTGTGGGGTGCACGGAGTCGTGAGCGGATCGGGGCTGTTCCCCGAGCGAGGCCAGAGGATTTGGGCATTCCCGTGTCGTCCATCTCCATTCACGACCATGAAACAAACGATTCCCAAGGAGTTAAAGAGTGAGCTCAAGTAGACACCTGGGCGTTGGTGGCCCGTGCACCCAGGAGGCGGAGGCAAGGGAGATCTCTGAGTTCGAGGGCAGCCTGGTCTGCAGAGTGAGTGCCAGGACAGTTAGGGCTACCCGTGGAGAAACCCTGTCTCGAAAAAAACAAAACAACAACAACAAAAGTGAGTTGGAAATTACAGAGAGAATCCACCCCGTCAGCAAGTGCAGATGTTGGAAATCAACCAGGGTCCCCGAAAAGATGTTCCCAAAGGCTAGAATGTTCTTGGAGAGGTCTCATCGCAGTTCGTTGTCCAATCCTCCGACCAGAATGAAACTTCCCAGAGTGGGAATGAGGCCCGCAAGCATAGGACCTGGGAACAGGACTGCCATGGCATTGTTAAGGCCAGAATCAGTCCCTGGCATCCCTAACAAGTCAAGCGATGCCGCCCATCCTTAATAGACCAATGAAACAAGTGAGAGTGAAAGCAGAAAGGGAAACTGATTCAATGTGGCCATACTGGGAAGAGGATCAGTGTGTACACACACACAAACACACACACACACACATGTATAGAGCCACATGTACATAAATATCCACTCACATGCACATGTACAGGATCAGTGTGTACACACACACAAACACACACACACACACACACACACACACACACACACACACACACACACACACCGTTGTCTCTGCCCCAGTCTCTTCCGTAAGAAGAGTCTGGCAAGTTGTGTGAAGCCTTTTTCCCAGAGACAAGTCCCCTTCTGGCACCAAGTGCCAGCCTTTTCCTTCTCTCAACAAGAGACCCTTGTGGAAATTCCAGTTTCTTGGGGTCCATTTTGTTTCAATAATCTAACAGCCAAGATGCGGGGGCAGAAGTGTCTCTTTAGAATATCTTCATCCTTGCCAGAACAGTTACAGAATCCTATGGCTGCCCACTACTCACGGGTAAAAGGTGGTGCGACACCTGATGACCCAGTCAGTCACTTCATTAAGTAATTCTGACCTCCGATTATGAATTAGGTTTCAGTGGATGGGGAAATGGGCATGATGCTCAGTCACCTCTGCCATCTGATATAAAGTGACCTCTAGTCCTGTTACTTTACAGCCCCAAATTCCAGCTAATCTCCACTTAAACTAATCCTCTAGGCCACTCTAGACTTCCCTGCAGCAGTTCTGGAGAATTATTGCCTCTTTTGCTTAGGCTCTTCCTTCTGAATTCCTTTCCCAGCCTGATGTTACCCAAATCCCAACTCACTTCTCAAGACTTGCTTTCCACTCTGTCTACCTACAGCATATGCATTATATTTCCATACAAATATATAAATATATGTGTTTGAATATGTGTAATACAGCTAGTTTTGGTCTGTACAGTCCCCTTTTCCCACCAGGAACTGTTTACATTTCTTAATTTCTCAGCCATTGGCACCTTTTTCAATTGGCCTCATTTCTGTTTGTAAGGCTTGCTTTGCTGTAGTTTAAAACTTGCGTCTCGTGTCCATCTTGCAAGTCTCCCTGCCCTTGACAGCTCAACCCGAGGAAGCGCCAGCTTGGGCTGAGACGCACCCTGCACATTTCTCTCCCTCTCAGTCTGCTGGGCACAGCTCCTTTGACAGTGGAAAAAATAGTGGGAGAGGAAAGACCGTGAACAGCAAGATGCAGCCTTCTCCTCCAGCTGCATGTTAATGTTCTGCAGCCCAGATGCACTCCTAAGGGAGTTGCTAGACACCCATTGCTATTGAGAGCCGCTAGCAAAAGTCCATGCGGGGAATTCATTACATTGCCACCTGGCTAACTATTCCAGAGGCACCAAGCCCGACCCTCTCAGCCAACACCCTACCATGTTTCTCTGATGTACTCAGTTCTTTGTTCCCATGAATGCTGCTCTGGCAAGGCTACAGCCATCGATCTCATGTCCTGTCGGCCGATTCTCAGATCCGCAGCAGCATTAGAGATGCATCTATGTACTGCTTCAGAGTACAAACTCAAGCAAGAGGTTTCTGGTCACATCTCCATCTGGCGTCACCCTTTGATGTGTGGATCCTTCATCTCTCGGTAACTGTTTTCCTCCTAAAATAACGGAAGCAGGTAAACAATTCCTCTATATTAAGGATGTTCAACCTCCTAAGGGATAGAGCAATGGAGGACCACTTTTCTGCTTTTGTGCCTCTATAGAAACAGAGGTGTCTAATGCAAGACAGCTCTGTGTGGCCTTGGACTGACATAGTTCTCCCTCTTTCCTGGAATTCTCAGGAGTACCTGTAGATGTTTTTAGAATGGAACACTGAGGTCCTGCCCTCGACTGCTGGGTCTTTGTTCTAATGCCCACCTAGCACTACAGATTAGCCAATTGTCCAGATTATAAAACCCATCACAGGCCACTTTCTGGGGTGCCTCATTTGCAGTGGAGGTGAGACATTTGAAAATGAGATTCCATCCTCTCAGGACAGCTTTTGGGAACAGACACATCCTGAGTCCTAGACTTCTGTTGTCCCTTTCTGCCTACCTGTCATAGAAGCGCCTTGTGTAACTAGGTGAGTGGGTACATTTCATCTCATTAGACTGAGGCAATAGTAAAAGTACATTCAAGGTACAGTGGTCTGGCATGGCCAGCCCACCACGAATCGACATCTGGTAGTGGTTCCCAACCCCTGGCTCATCTCTCTATTCAGAGAATGCCTCTCACTCTCAGCTGCTATTCTGAAATAGCAGAAAAGCCACAGTGGATGCCTCCTGCTGCACTTTCTTATTTTGTTATTTCCCCCAAAAAGGAAGTAATGTAACGTTTTAAGGAAAATGGGGTTTCAGAACATAAAGTCTTGACTTATTAAACACATGTAACCTAATACAGCCTAAATTGGACCAGGAACAAAAGTAATAATAATAATAATGTAGAGTAATGCAGCCTGAGATAGTCATGAAGTCCCAAATATATCAGAGTCAATATTTTCTTTACTTTTCAGTTATAAAATGCATTATTGTAATTGTCACAATGAACAAGTGATGTGTAGGCAGGTGAAGACATTTTTGTCTTGACAAAAGTAATAGTTTCCAGATAATTAAGAATAGTGAATGAAGGGGCTGACACGATGCCTCAGTAGTTAAATGTACTGGCTCTTTTTCCGGAAGACCCAGGTTCTATTCCCAGCACCCACATGGCAGCTCATAACTGTCTGTAACTCCAGTTCCAGGGGATCCGAGGACATCTGTAGACACTGCATGAGTGTGGTACACAGACAGACATGCAGGCAAAACACCTATACACATAAAAAAGATAATAAATAAAATGTGCAAAAATGTTTTTTTAAATTAAAGAATAATGAAAAGGGTACCGGGTTCTGCCTCAACAGACCTGATTCCACCCACTTAGCCCTTCTTCTCTTTCCTGCAGCCTCATCGAAGTGGAGACAGCTCTGTGAAGGTTCCTAATGATGTTCATGGTTCCCAGTTCCTGGTGTTCCTGGCTTCTGATTGTCCCGAGAACTAAAGCAACTGTGCGCTTTGGAATGCTTCCTGTGTCTGCTTTGTGGCGGGTGCTCAGTAATTTAGTCAGCTGAAGAAAAATAAATGAGATAAAATTTCAATCCTTGTAATATCTATTCTAGAGAACTCTAACCTTACGGCTGACTCCTACAGTTAGCCTTTAACGTGGATTCCCCCCACCCTCCACTACACGGTAAAATAAAGAGGCGTGAGCAGCGAGAGATGGACAGCATGGTCTCCAGTTGGCTGTGTCCGCCAACGGAATGTCCGACCCATGGAGGCCCAACTGAGCGCTGAGGTTTAAGTGTCCATCGAGCTAGTGCAACCCGGCTTTGGACGACCCAGGGCTGGACCACATAAACCTCCTCGGCAGGACGGGTCTCATGCTGAAGCTGAAGTGGTGTGCTTGGGGAGCCGTGTTCTGTTCCTTTAGCAGCTTTGCCAACTTTCCAAGCTCGGAGGACACTGAGCAGGTGATGAGTAGCTTCACATTCTCAGTCTCGGCGGTGCCGATGTCCAAGCTGCAGAATCCTCAGCCCAGGATGCCCCATGGTGATGTCACCTAGAGGAATTGGGTCCTGGACTTCTGCCCACCCTCTCTGCGGCCTAGCCTTTGGCTGCTTCCACCCTGCCCTCAGCTGCTGCCCTCAACTTGCCCGACTGTGGTCTCTGGGCTCCCAGCTGAATGGAGGGAAGTTGGCCTTTGCTTTTGGGGTCCTGCTTCTGCTTTGACAAAGGGGTAAACCCACAGACTTCCCTTTTCTCTTCCCTCCGCTGGCCACTGTTATGGGAGACACTGTTCACTGTTCATGTTTCTAAGTATTCCCTTGTTTTCTTGTTGAAACCATTGTTATAAATTTTTCCACTCTATGAAAAAAATTAAATAAATAAAGAGACATGGCCCATCTCTGGATTTTTTTTTTTTTTTTTTTTTGAGACAGGGTTTCTCTGTGTAGCTTTTGTGCCTGTCCTGGATCTCGCTCTGTAGACCAGGCTGGCCTCGAACTCATAGAGATCCACCTAGTGAAGCTCTGCCTCCTGAGTGCTGGGATTAAAGGCGTGTGCCACCACCACTCGGCCCATCTTCTGGATCTTGAAGAATAAAATACAAATAAATAAATATAATGAAGATTATTTGAAAACGCAGTATGTCGAATGTGCACGTGCCCAAAGTGAAACTGGGAAACTTAATATTTGTAATTAAGTTGGTAAATTTAATACTGGGAAACAAGATTTGTAATGACGTCCTTGGTAATAAAAGCTTCAAATTCTCAAAAGAAAGAAAATTAAGATGAAAAGAAATGCAGGAAAACAACATACTGAAGTTGTCAAAGAAATTATTGAAAAATTAAGACACATGGTGGAGACCAGCTCCCATGTGACCACTGCCTCATGCAACTTCAATATCTTAACAAGAGGTATGCATTCATTCATAGCAGCTGGTGAACCTGTTTCGACACGTCATTGTCTCCCACACTACGCTTCACTTTCGTGCTCACTCTTGCTGGTACAGTTCTGTAGGTTGTGAAAACTCTACAATGTTTCCACCATCATGTTATAATACATAACACCTTTTGCCCTAAAAGTTCTTTGTACTCAACTCTAACCATGCCTCTTCCAGCTAAATCCTGGCAACCACTAATCCTTTTACTGTTTCCACTGTTGAAGTTACACAGGAAGTAGGTTTTCACACTGCCTTCTTTTACTTAGTGCGGATTAAGGTTGTTTTTGTAATTTCATGATTCCGTACGTCATTTCTTCATAGTGATAATGTTCCATTGTCTGGGGGGACTTATCTGTCCTCCTGCTGAAGGACATCTTGATTACTTCCAAGTTATGGTTCTCATAGATAAAGCTGTTATTCAAACCTATTTAGGTAAGTACTAGAAGAATTCAAGCCTAACTCAGCTATATTGTTGGATCATATGGCCAAGGTAAGATTATTTTGGAAGAAAATGTCAATACCCATAAAATAATTTGATAAGATTTTGACTGAAGAGTCAAATCATTGAATCTATAGACCAAGTTGAGAAATATCCCAGATCATGAGAGCAGTGAATCTTTCTTTACTATTGCTGGAGGGCTTCTCTCCAGGTTCCCCAAGCCCCGCAGTCCCACAATCCATTTATAAAATAATCACTCAGACGCTTATATCACTTATAAACTGTATGGCCGTGGCAGGCTTCTTGCTAACTGTTCTTTTATCTTAAATTAACCTATTTTTATAAATCTATACCTTGCCACTTGGCTGGTGGCTTACCAGAGTCTTTACATGCTGCTTGGCCTGGCGGTGACTGCAGTATCTCCCTCCTCAGCCTTCAGCTTCCCAGCATTCTCCTCTCTCCTTGTCCCACCTACTTCCTGCCTGGCCACCTACTTCCTGTCTGGTCACTGGCCATCAGTGTTTTATTATATAGAACGATATCCATATAATGATAAATTATAGATTTAGGAAATGTGCTGGAGGCCTCAGAATTTCATAAAAAACATCATGTCAATAGTAAAGGTTTAAAAAAGGATTTTTCCATAACCTGGCAAGAAGCCAAAGAAATAGTAAAGAAATGTCCTACTTGTTCCTTCTACAATCAAACGCCATTACCAGCAGGATGTAACCCAAAGGGTACTCAAAGGAATGAAATCTGGCAGATGGACGTGTTTCACTTTACAGAATT